CATTTCACCTTGTGTCCCGCACTGGTGCTGAAGCTGTCCTCCCTTTTGGCTTCCCCTCCCGAGCCCTGCGCGCTCGCCTAAGGCAAGTCCCCTCATCAGGCGTCGTGTTCCTTAGGGAAGAGGCAGAGAATCCCTTAGCACTGAGTGTGTGCCCAGCAGGGAGCTATAGCGAGTTGATGTTTGTAGACAAAAGAGCCTTTGGCAATAAAGCACAGTGTGCCAAGTGCAGGCAGACGGGAATGCAGACAGAAGGGCCCGTTGGGGTGCTGCTGTATTTTTACCGTGAGGTTGCCCAGAGGAGCTGTGGGTGCCTCACCCCTGGAAGTGTCCGAGGCCAGGCTGGAGAGGGCCCTGAGCAGCCTGGGCGAGTGGAAGGTGTCCCTGACCCTGGCAGGGGATTTGGACTAGATGGTCTTGTAAGTTCCTTTCCAGTCCAAACCATTCTGTGATTCTACACACTAAAGCATGTTTATCATCTAGTCTTCTGGAAAAATGGGGCAATGCATTGCCAGTAGTAGTAAAGCCATTCAGTCACATCACACAATGAGCATTCATCCTGTTCAGGAGGATGTTTTTCCTGTCAGAGTAATTTCTTTAATTTGAACTGTTCTAGTAACTCCTGCACCAGTAGAAACAGTGCTAATAATGGGAGCTGAGAGGCCTTCTCATAAAGCTGCCTGATGCTTATTGAATGGTGTGGGTTGGATTTTAAGTTCATCAGTAATTTCTTCCAGCATTCTGGATTTGTGTCATCTTTGAGAACAGCTCTCGGTTTTATGCCTTTGGGTCATTCCTCCATGCTTCAAAAGTATCCTGGAATCTACCTGCTTACCCTAGACTTTGTGACTAGGGTGGTATATGTGGATTGAATGTGGTTTTTGAAAGCCATGGGTTTAACTATCATCTCCTCAGTAAATGTCTTGTTCTGGAGGTTGGATTCTTATCCCCAGAGGAGTGTGTGTTGCTGCTCACAGGTAATCATGCCTCCTCTGCTTGAAAAGGCATGTTCTCTTGTTCAATAGGCATTACTGATCTGATTGATCAGAGTCAAGGCCCTGAACTAACATTGGGATGGAGCTGAGGTTTGACTATTTTAGTGGGAAAGTGAGGAAACAAAACCAAAAAAAGCCTGAATTGCTTCCCTCTTAGCTTTCAAAAAGTTCAGACTACTCTGCCTACTCCCTATAGGATAGAACATAGCCAGGTACTGATCTGAGAGGAAGAATCAAGCTGAAGGTGAAAGGCTATCGTCAAAAGATGTTAGCCGGTTGTGCTTTTAACACCAAGTGAATGTAGGCTCTGTGACTCAGTATTGCTGTGAGCAATAAAAGAGATGTTGGCAGATGCCCTCTGAAATAGAGAACAGTTTTCTTATCTCTTTGAAAATATTTTTTTCTGTGCAGCTGATGTACCTTTGGTGTAGTTCTGCTTGAACTTGAGGCAGCAATCCATGTATATAGCCCTGGCCAGGCTTCCATTTGTCATGGACTAGGTTTTCCCTCAGATTCTGCAGTTTAGGGATGTTGTGGAGGTCCACTTGTGATTCCCCTGTTTTCTAAGCATCTAGATTTTTGTAGCTCTTTGGAGCATTTGATGATTTATAGCCTCCCTATCTATGTCTAGCTAAATATATGATATACAGCCTCTATATATAGAATATAGCCTCTAGCTGTTATCACAAAGGTTTCTCAGATTTTTTTCAAACCACCACAGGAGGCTAGCTTGGGAAAAATAGGGTCAGGGGAGGCTAGTGCCAAAAGAAGTGCCTTCTGCTCTCAACTCCTGTCCCCAGTAGCACTGGCCAGGTGGTGCCTACTTCTAGGCTCCAGCATTTGTCTTCTTTAAGTCTCTGCTTTTTTTTTTTTCCTGGATTGAAGTGACCTGCAAACAATTGAAGCATCCAGGATACTAACTGCACATTGTTTGACTTGTACTGTAGGGTGTGGCACTTCTTGGAAACGAAAATGAAACTGGAGAAATTCTTGGGAAGAGTACTGAAGTGTTTGGGTTAATAGAGGAACGAATTGCTGACTTTTCTGGGAGTTGGGCAAGCTCCTTTCTCTGAAAGATTCCCCTCCCAGCAGAGAGCTGATGTGTTAGGAAATACATGCAAGTAGAGATGAGGACTTTCAGAGGTTTTATGATTTAACCGATGTATGAAGAAGGGGCTGAAATCTGGCAGGGACTGCTCTTCTAAAGGTATTGTGGCATAGCTCTTGGTAGGTTTGGACTTGTCTAGCTGCTTTTTGAACTTCCATTGGCAGCATCCACACCGTGCCATGGGAAGGAATTCCATAGGTGGCCATCTGGTTCATGAAGTTTCTCTTTCACTTATTTTGACCTTCACATGTGCAGCCTTTGATAGGTGTCAGAAGAAAATGTGATTCTTTATTCCCAGTTTGGTTTTGTCATGATTTTGTAGACCTCTGCTGTATCTTTTTCTCAGTCCTTTTTTTGTCCATCCTGCAGAACCCCAACTGTGGTAGTTGTTGCTTGTGTGGAACCTGCTCTGGCTTTTGGTGTGAACCTTCTTTGTAATTACAAGAGCACTACTAATTTTACTGTATCATTTTTTAAGTGGGTGTATTAGGGAGGAAACTGTCCTTCATGCAGTGTGGGAGAGTAATGTATTGTTGTCTTGCACAGTTCAATAATTATATTCTTCATCTTAGTTTTTAAATATTTTTCTTATAACTTTTGATATCCAGTCTGGTTTATTCACTTTTGGAGATTATCCAGTAGATGTTTACATCAAGCTGTTAGGTGTAGCCACAACACCTCATTCCTGAGTAGAATGTTGCATAGACGAATGGCCTTGCTCCAGTGATCATCAGTGTGAAATTAAGTTCTCTCTGAGCTGATAAAGTCTGTAGCTCTTGCCTTTACTGGCACACTTTACAGACACTTAAGAGAGCTTTGAAAATGTTTAACTTGACTTAAAGGATAAAACTGGATAAGTAGCAAATTGAGAATTTTTCTCTAAAAAAGAAAAAAACAAACTTACCCTCTGCCTGCCAGGGGTTTTCTCAGCTATTGCCAATGTACTTTATTTCACTTTTTTAAATGAATTTCTCAAGTAACAGCTTATTGTGTGTGTGTGTGTGAATGTTTCAGGAAGTGCTTCAAAGATCATCAGAAGATGTATTTCCAACCATGGAAAGTCCAGTTGAAGAGATGGATACCTCTGATACCCAGTGGGGCTGGTTTTATTTGGCTGAGTGTGGTAAATGGCATATGTTTCAGGTAAGTGCCTATGAAGCTGTATTAGCTGTGATGGATTCCATACATCAAACTGCTCAATTTGTCTAAATGTGCTTTTTCATTTCCTTTTGAAGACCGATTCAAACAGTCATTGCTCTATTAGCAGTGAAGACATTGAGAGGAGCTTCCGAAAAAACCCACACGGTTCTCTGACTTTTACAACTGCAAAGTTTAACTACACACTAGATTTTTCTGGTAGGTATCTTTTCACAGAGTCAGTTTAAATCCTGCAAGGTGCCATGCTTACCACTTCATTTGTTCTTTCTGCAAGTTACCGTCCTCATATCTAGCGCAAAAACGTGATTGAAAATGTCATCTTTACTGGAGAGTTCACAGGAGTTTTTAGAAGTAGCTGCTGCTACATTTTTAAAGTGTAGTTTATTAATAAAGTAACATGTCTTGTTTCGTAGCACTGCATCGTGTCACTGCTGCTTGCCTCAGCTGCAGGTGGTGTGTAGCATACAGCTGTTGAACTGGGAAGTTTGAGCCTTTTTTCTTTAATGTGCAACTGCTTGAAAAACCTCTTCATTCAGAGTCTGTAAAAGAAACGTTGCTATGAAGTTTTCTGCAAAATACTGGCATCAAAGTGGTTTAATAATTCAGCAGGTAGTTGAAGCCAGTTCTGTTCTCAGAATAACAAGGAGATAGGCAAAAAGATTTTCTAGTAGATTGTAAAGCTCTTACTTATGCTGTACTGTATTCCAGGTTCCTAATGTATGTAACTAACTATAAATGTAATCTGTCCTTTGTTCAAGGGTGTGTTCTAATAACTTCCCTTTTTGAACTTTTCCTTTTGTAGATTGTTTATTTTCTGATTAAATTACAAAACGGCTATATGCAGATATAGGAAATCATAGAAATAAATATATATTCCAATATACTCAATTTCAAATATTTCAAATACAGAAGGTAGGTACTGGGTAAAACAGCAGTGTACGAGGAGTAAAGCAGAATGTAACAATGCAAGGAGTTTTATGTTTACTTGTGTTGAAATGTCTTACAAAAACTATGTTTTGCATCTCGAATAAAAACACTAAATGCAAATGTTAGAGTAGATGTTTACATCAAGCCGTTACATGTAACCGCAACACCTCATTCCTGAGTAGATAGAATGTTGTATAGATCAATGGCCTTGCTCCTATGACCATCAGTATGAAATTAAGTTCTCTTTTTATGTTTCTGTTTGTAGGTGTTCTATTAAGGATAGTAGCAATATTCTTTGTTATCCTGTTAAAGTCAGTGAAAGCTTTGCCAGTGATGTAGTGGGGCTGAATGTTACATGGGTATTTAAAAAATAAACATTTTATGTGTATAATATTTGAGCCTTTAGCAATTCACATAAGTGACAAAGCATTTAGAGACATTTATTGGAAGTTAGTTGTTGAAATAGGAATTCATGTAAAGCAACTTAGGGTGTAGTAATGTTAGTTATAAAAATGATGCTTAAATGTTTCATATGCTGTAGATGAATTCCAGAAAGTTTCATCCTAATTCTTGTTTTATGTGCAGTGATGAAACAAACCAACCTAACTACACGGAAACAACGTCCGATAAAGCGAGCTCCCTTTTCTGTCAATGCATTCAGGTAAGGAAATAAAAGGAAGACTCCTTATTTTTATTCTATTCCTGATTCTTGTAAGTAAAATGAAACAGGAATGTTTTATCTGTAGTGTTTATAGTTTTTCACTTTTTGAATCAAATGACTTAAAAGTTGAACCAAGGTGGGAGAGCTAGTCAAGTGAAGAAGGAAGACATTTCAAGGGAGAAGAGTGAGGCAGGAATTTTTTTGTTTTTTCCCTTTTCTTCTGAGAAAGAAGTGGGAGAGGCAAGGTATACTGTATGCTGCAATCCTTCAGCAAGGTTCTCCTTAAAGCTGTGCCTGACTTTGGCTGTTGGAATCACTTGCTCTGAATACCTGTTGTATCAGAATTACTGCAGAGAAACAGAACAAAAATGAAGTAGTTTATTCCAGTGTAATAATGACTTCATAAATTATTTGGTATTATTGTAACAGCAAAAAAGATTGGGTTATCTTTTTTCCCTATGTTTTAGTAATTTATTCTAATATGATATGAAGTTAAAGAAATTGCATTGTAACAACCAGAGTTCTTTATGAGTCTAATTGCTTTAGATTGTAAGTTTCTTAGCGTTTGATCAGTCATTAGGTGTAAAGCTGTGCTGATGCAAATCTGGTATTCACTAAACAATAAACTGAGCTATGCAGTGATACTACCATAGGTAGAATTGACTGCATGGAATATGTGGGGTTTTTTTCTCCCAGGAGTTTCTGAGAAGTAATTTTAGTTCTGAATAGTAGTCTGGTATACATTCATAAAGAAATTTGCCATAAAAAAATGCAATCTGTTTACACTGACTTTCAAGAAGGCCTGTTTTTTTGAAGTGTCAACTGTTTTTACATTTGATATTTGTTGAATAGTGCATGCAGTGATGTGGCAACTTACTTTTCTTTTGTTTCTTGAATAGTTACATTCATACTCTTATTTCCATGTGATGACATTTTTTACTTTCAGGAAATTCCTTCTTTTAGTCCTAGTTTTGAGGCTTAACAGCTGCTAAGTATGCAGTGTAAATTCTTAAGACACTTTTTTAGGATTTAGTTTTGTGTGTTTTGGTTTTTTTTTTTCAAGCCCAGTTAAACTATAATTTTCAAGTGTGTATTTCTAACAGGATGCTGTTAAATATTTCAAATGTGGGCTCAGTTTCCAGACAATAGACTAGTTGTAATTCCTGATAGCTTGGAATGTACCTATACTGTTATATTTCTAAATTAGTGTTGTTCTCCTAATGTTGTGGACCCTAAAGTTGGTGTCCACTTCTGATTTATCTTC